ATTTTCACTCATAGTATTTTCTTGATGTTATGAGAAAGCATTCTTTTTATGGACAAGATCACAATACAAAAGCGGATATAAGTAACTTTTTATAATAGTCTGAAACTGACAGCCATGTATATATAAGTGCTTATTAACAGAAATTAATTTTGAAGGCTAGTAGGAATATCTTTTTCTGCCATTCCTTTAGCATGAGAGGAAAAAAAAGTAGAGGTAGGTTTGTGATGTTATGAGAAAGCATTCTTTTTATGGACAAGATCACAATACAAAAGCGGATATAAGTAACTTTTTATAATAGTCTGAAACTGACAGCCATGTATATATAAGTGCTTATTAACAGAAATTAATTTTGAAGGCTAGTAGGAATATCTTTTTCTGCCATTCCTTTAGCATGAGAGGAAAAAAAAGTAGAGGTAGGTTTGCAGATTTGGGGGTTTCTTTCTATATTTTAGCAGTAAAATGTTGTCTTTTGGTTTGCTTTTGATTGGTTTTGGTTTTTTTGGGTTTTGATTGTTTGGGTTTTTTTACTTGACTCATGGTTTCTTATAATTTGAAAATGCATGCTTTCACAATTCCAGAGAATTGAAAGATAACCTTGGCAGTGATGATCCAGAGGGAGATATACCAGTCTTGCTGCAGGCTATCCTGGCAAGGAATCCTAATGTTTTCAGGGAGAAAAGCATGCAAAACAGATATGGGGTACAAAGCGGTAAGGAGTTTTGATTGATTATTGATTGTGTTTTATGTTGTTCTGTAAGTTTAGGGGGCTGATACTAACCACAAATATATCTAGACCACAACTGTGATGCTTATGCTTTACCTTATATTTGATAGCAATATAAAGCTTTGTGTCTTGACATCTTCTAAGAGCAATGGTATTAGAATAAGCACAAAAATACTCTATACTAGGTATTTTTGTAAAAAATAATGTTGAATTTCACTACAAAGTTTAATTTCTAGGATGAGTGATTGGATTTTATTTTAAAGTAATTTTATTTGAATTGCTTTATGATTAGGGTCATATATTTGTCTTAGTAAATAATTGAAGTTGGGAAAATATGCCTTGATCTATAGCGCAAATCTGTACAATTATAGTACATCATTGTAGTGGTAGTTCATAATAGTTCTGGGGTAAGGAATAAGGTTGAATGAACCATATGTAACATCTTCCCCTTGCCATTCCTCTTCTTAGCAATTTGTGATGCCCTACAGATTTTACTGCTTCAATAACTAATTCTTTTCTGAGATTTAGTGAGATAGACTGCTGGATAACAAAGATAGAGAAGGGGAGTGACCAAGCAAAGGATTAATCAGACAGATTCTAAGTGTAGATTTTATTTGCACCTGAAATGTTTTTTTTAAATACTAAACTATGAAATGAGCAGGGTAATTTCCAGAGTTTTCATAATGTGAGGATAAAGCTTTGCTAGCATTGTAGAGATATAGATAGAAGTGTTGCTGGAGCCCATAGGGGATAGAAAGTGTTAGGGTGGTTTTGGAGGGGGAAAATAATAAAATTAGATTAAATTCTTTCACCCAGGCTAGCGAGTAAAAAACAATACAATATTTGAAAAGAACTTGCTAGGGACAGAACATATAATGTTCCTTGAAAGAATGCTGAAATTTCCAGGAATGAAAATGTGCTCAACATTTATAGGCCATTGATACCTATATCCTGAAATTTAAGCTCTGAAAACAGTCTCCAAGTTCTGGGTTTGGTGGTAGCCATGTGTGTATGATTTTTCCAGCTGCTGGAAGAGTCGTGACTGTCCTGCCAGTTATTGCAGTTGTTTCACAAAGAGCATACACTTGTCCTGGTTTTGATTTGGATAGAGTTCATTTTCTTCTTAGTAGCTGGTATGGCGCTGTGATTTTTTGATTTAGTATGAGAATAATGTTGATAACACACATTTTTCCACCAGTTCTGTAGAGTAAAATAATAATTTTCCAGTGCAAAAGGGAGACATTGTTTTTGAAATTATTTGTTCCAGCAGAGGCTTTTGAAAGAAAGAAGATAAAGTGAGTTAGTTTCTTTCTAATTTTTGCTAATTCAGTGCTTCAGAGGGGGAAGCACTTTTGCAGCTTGATTCAATAGATTAAGAATAATCCTTAATGATATAAACCCATCTCTATCTTTAGTAAATGTGCTTTTGCCTATGCTTGAAGGGAGGTACTAGTACAGAATTAAAAACAATTAAATATAGAACTTAAAAGAATAGTTGCTGTTATTTTAACAAAGTTAAGAAAGTGCTTTCAGAGAACCAGAAGAGATCAGACTTTAAAACTTCCTTGAATATTTAATTGTATTGTACATAATTCTGAACACTTGTACCTGTGCAAACATTGCAATGTAAGTGTGAAATTGGAAAAATTGAAAGAAAGGGGGAAGAGGGGAAAAGTATAGCTGTACACAAAGTATTTTGAGAGGAAGAAGGCCCTGTAATGAATGTTGGGAAAAGCTAGGCGAAGTGTGACTTTATTTTCTATGAAGAAAGGCCACACTTTTGGCTGGAAATAGGGGGATCTTTAAGTTAGATGCTGGCAAATTGTGGTAGCCTTATTAGCTGTTAGTACATCCCATTTGGATGTCCAAGGCCAAAGCAGGGTATACTGATGTGTTCTGGCAGCAAAAGTTGGTCTTTCTTCTGCTTTCTGAACAGATTTTGTAATCTCTGTAGAGTCGTGATTTGTAGAACAATTGGGAGTTTGGTAGAGATTTTATGTAATCCATTTTGCCAGCTATAAGAATGAAATTTAGGCTCTTTTCTAGTATTTCAAATTAATCTCTCCTGTTTCCCTTACTGTCTTCCTTCTGAATATTGTGCTTTTGCCTTCTGTTGAATCCAGCATGTGGTGAAGTCAGTGCTGAGTACTGTGATCCAGTATTTGTAATGCCCAGAACTGAGAAGGAGTGAAAGCAGCAGGACCCCCAGTGTATTTACTCAGCCTGGGGTGGGCGTCTACACGATGATCCCTTGAGCATCAGTTCCAGCATTAATATGGACAAACTGAACTCAAATTCATTTCTCCCAGCCTTCTTTTCTAATGCAAGAACAGAAGGACCACCTGGCTAAAGAATTACATTAAATGTGGAATAAGCTTCTTGGTTCAGTACAATTTGTCAGGAAATAAAGGCCTCTTCAGAAACTTAAATATGTGTTGAATACTTATGAATATAAGGTAAAGTGCAAACAGAATTCCGTGCTGATGTTTTTTCCATGGTAATATTGATTTGCAGCTCAACACTAAGTTTAGAGAGAGAATTGGTTTTAGTTATGATGAACAAATAGTGCAAGAAAGATGTATTATGTGGATACTTGCTTTGTATCCTGGGCATACCATCCTCCCCTGCTATCTCCAGCCCCCCAAAATTGCTGGCATATTTAATTTCAGGTAATGTAGCAGCAGTGTTCAAACCCTTATTCCATGTCTTTTGATAACAGTCCTATTGTTGAAACAGAGTTCATGCAGATTAGATTTTTATTTAGATTTTTCAGACTATTTTCTATTACTAGGTTGTCTAAACAGACTGAGTCACATCACCATGCAGCATCAGCACAAGGGCAGCATGTTAATTTTATTTTAGGCATTTTGAATCAAATGACAGAGAAAGTTCTGTGTGCTGTCTTTAACTACATCTTGCATCTTAGTGTACAAGTGAAGTGGATTTCTTTATAATTATTTATT